TAGGGTCAAGCCTTGGCTCTTGCCAACCTGCGCCTAGTACTGTCCAGAATTAGATAAGGAGGAAGTGCAAATTGTATAAAGCAATGTCCCACAAACAGCCATAATCCTTGTATCTGACGTTTTGCCCACAAAATATACAGTCAATTCACTTTACAGTATATTCTGTGAAGCGCTTTGCAACGTTTATGAAGATGTGATAAGGCGCTATATCAAATGCAAGAATTATTATTATTCATTCTCCTTACTCATTGCTGCCAGCATATCTGTGAAGGTCTTCAAAGCTTTTATCCTAAGTGAAAGGCTTCCTCTAAAGTACCGAATCATTACTGAATTCAGTTTACCTCATCAACAAGGTTTCACCAGCGTCTCTTTGATAATAACTTACCACGTAACTGTGGTTCTTAATACAAACTGCTTTAAGCTTCCCTAAAGATGCTGAGTAAAACCCATCAGTAATGCTATATGATCTATTTCACCTAGAAACCTCCTATCGAGTCACAATCAACATGCGATACAGCATAGAGATAATTATCTGCAGACAGGGCAGACAATTTGACTTCACAATAATTCGGTCACTCAATCCACAACTGTTTGTGCAATTGGCTGCCGCGTTTCGCCCACAAAATATATACAATCAGTTCACTTTACAGTATATCCTGTGAAGCGCTTTGAGACGTCTAAACAACGTGATAAGGCGCTGTATCAAATGCAGAGATTATTATTATTATCATGCAATAGGATCACAGGGAATCACAAAAGGGTCAGTGTCAAGGCGTTTGATGGTTAGGACGAGGATGTTAAAGTCTATCTGTTGGGGGAAGAGGGAGAAGATACCCTGCCCAAGCCAATCATGACCCTGTCCTACTTTTTACCAGGCGTTGTGGATAATGATGATGGAGGAGCCCAGACTGACCCAGGAGTGATTCAGGTCAGATGGCAAGTGACGGCAAGTCACACAGACAAAGTTCACAAGGCTCTAGGTTCCGCCAAGCCCTGTTAACCCAATCCTGACCACTGATGTCCGCTTCCTGATGCACCTATTGTCCTCACCACCAATTACCTGAAACTGTTGTGTTTTGTCAACACAAGAAACAGGTGTAACCACAGCGCTGTTGGACAGGTCACTCTGGGAGTGTCAGAGTGGGGATGATTCAAACAGAAAAATGTCACAGTTTACAAATCTTCTTCTGCTCTAGAAATATCAGGCGCTTCAAACGCACCAAAATTTGCACCCACACACTGAGAGAAACCCCAAGGATGAAATCAGTCCATCAACCCCACTCCTGTCTACACTGTACAGTGTCTCTGCCTGCACTACCAACCATCACCCCCCATCGTTCAGGCCTGTGGCAATATTCCAGGAACGTCCCACATATAACTGACTCCTCCTCTGACTCTGATATGCAGAGACAGGCACCATGCTCTCTGGTTGTTAATTTCTTTATTAATTCCTGTATAGTTTAGTGGTTAGAACACTTGCCTCGCAAGCGAGAAGATCTGGGTTTGATTCTCAGGCAGGGAGACACGTTGGGCAAGTTTCCTTACTTCACCGCTTCTGTTTACCTAACAATATGGAACCCACTGTTAGTCGACAGTCGGATCACTTTAATAATCCCTTAAAAAATAATAATAATAATATTTTGGTCACTCAATCCACAACTGTTTGTGGGACACTGCTGTATACAATTGGCTGCCACATTTTGCCCACAAAATATAGTCAATTCACTTTACAGAATAATCTCGAAGACATGATAAGGCGCTATCATGCTCTAGGTAAGTCACAGGTCATGTTCAGAGAGAATCGCAAGTCCATAATTTTAACACAGCAACTTCGCAGGCTGTTGCTCACAGCCACACACATGTGCAGTCTATCAAATATAGCCTCACACGGACTCTCACCGAGAGTCAGACTGAGTATAACTGAGTCAGTCACACTGAGCGAGTGAAAGCCAACAATTCAGAGCTGTTCAGATGGGGTGATTTGTCTGAACCTTTACTCTTGTTGACTCTTTCCGCAAAGATCAAAGACTCAGCCATCTGAGTATTTGTCTGTCAGATGTTATTTGCAGTCAGAAAGTAGAAAACCTTAGATCTCGAGCCCTAAACTACACCAGCTGATGGGTTCTTCAGGCAGCCTGGCTCAGCTGGTAGCAATCTCATGTCCAGGTCAGAAGGCTGTGGGTTCTAGCCCCATGTCAGGACTTGAGGTCATGGACACTTCGGCACAGTCCTGGGAGAGCACTGCATTGTCCGGGGTGGTGTTCTCGAGGGTGAGGGGCTGGTATCCAGACCTCTGTCAGCTCCAGTCTCACACAGCATCACAGGTCCTGGCAATTGACTTGGGAGAGAGTAGCTTCACCAAGTTTTAATAACAATCTAATCTATCCAGCCTTCAGAATGAGACATCAAACCAAGGTCTCATTTGCCTGTTTAGGGGAACGTTAAAGATTCTGTGACATTCTGGGAAACGACAAAGGAGTTTGTTTCTCCTGTGTCCCGGCTGACAATCCCCCAAATAAGCTGGTTAGTCTCTTCATGGCTGTTTGTGGAATGCTGCAGTAGCCAAACTGGCTGTCATGTCTGCCTTCACTTGGCACTTCTCTGTGAAGCACTTTTGGAGACATTGCAATGTGCCAAGGCACAAAATATCAATGTAGTGTAGTGGCTCAAGATGAAAAGGATGATGTTTAAAGTTTAGTTGGCCCATCTGTGGTGCTCTTGAATTGAGTTAAAGTCCAACAACAACGTGCACTGTTGTTGTATCCAGCATGCCAGATAGCGTCCCAGAGCGCTTGTCAGTAGTGGAGGAGGGAGGAGGTGACCATAGGCACGGTCGAAGAAAAAGCGAGACTCTGAAAATGGGGAAGGAAGGAGCAGGGTGGAGGGACGGAGGAAGAAAGTTCCAGAGTTTCGGGGTGTAGTGGCTGAAAGTACAGCTACCAATGGTGGAACGAGGGCACAAGGGACATGCAGGAGGCTGGAGCCAGTCGAGCGGAGGCAGCAGGTAGTGGGTTGGGGAGTAAGCAGGTCGGAGAATTAGGGAAGTGCCAGGGCATGAAGGGATTTGAAAACGAGTGTGAGATCGATCCGTGGAGCATGGCTAGAACTGTGAATCCACTGAGTTATAATATAATAATAATAATCCTTGCATTTTTGATATAGAGCTTTTCACATCGGGAAGACGTCCCAAAGCGCTTCACAGAACACACTGTAAAGTGAATTGACTGTATATTTGTGGGTGAACGCGGCAGCCAATTGCGCACAGCAATGTCCCACAAACAGTCGTAGATTGAAAATGACCAATTTATTATTGTTTTTGGTTTTGGAGGGATTATTATTAGGCTCTGTGTGGAGTAAGGAAACTTGCCCAAGGTTTCGCCCTCTGCCTGGAATTGAGCCCAGGTCTCTCGCTTGCAAAGCGAGTGCTCTAACCACTGAGCTACAGGACTCCACAGTTCTGTCAGTTCCACACAGATGATCAGGTCCAAGAGATCGGCTCAGACAGAACAGCTTCACTAAGTCTTCTACACTTGGATTTTTATTGGGAAGAATTCTGAAAGACTCGTCTGGTTTGCAGTATTTATATTGAGTGTGTTACTGCTGTCTGTCTGTTATTGACTGCCTCGCTCTGTAAATAAACTGACTGAAGTTAAACAGGCAAGAATGCGCATTGCTTAGTGCTTGTACCTATTGAAAGTGACTGGGAATTCAGCCAGAACACAGACCAGGCCCAATATACAAAGTATGTATAATAATAATCATCCTTGTGTTTGATAGAGCGCCTTTCACGTCAAGAGGAGATGATAAAACTCTTCACCAACCTGTCCACTCCCTGCGTTCTGCGGGCACTGGCCTGCTCCACGCCACCCCCCTGCCTGCTCCCTTATCGGTGGTCAGGCCATCAGCCTTGCTGCCCCCACCCTATGGAACTCCATCCCAGAGCCCCTCCACCACGCTCCATCTCTTGCCACCTTCAACCCCCATGTCAAGAACTTCGTTTTCGACCGTGAAAGGTTTTCAAATGCAAGGATTATTATTATTATTATCAGGTCACCGCTGACATCACTTCCCGAGTGCTGTGCATGTGCTCAGAAAGCCAGCGGCCTCTCAGTACACAACCTAACCGGGCTGTACATTGTCAGGTCCAGGGCAGGAAGCCAGCCGTGAGTCCACAGGACACCCACTGCCTTTGAAGTGAAGCCGTGTTTTAATGGGGCTCCACTGTATTTGTGAATGGAGTGGCTGAAGATCACGTCAGTTGAGATGTTCATGAATGGGTTAAATAATTGTCTTCAAGCCGGATGATGGTGAGATAGGAACATAGGAACAGGAGCAGGCCATTCAGCCCCTCGAGCCTGTTCCACCATTCTATAAGACCATGGCTGATCTGTACCTCATATCTAATTACACGCCCTTGCCCCATATCTCTTGATACCCTGATGTAACAAATAGATATCCACCTATCTATCCAGAGAAAAAGAGATACACAGAGAGAGAGGCAGAGAGAACTAGAGAGACAGACACACACAAAACTCAAAGAGAGAGAGATCGTCAGAGAGGGAGAAAGAAAAAAAAGAGGCAGAGTGAAGTCAGAGACAGCAGCAGAGAGAGCGAGAGAGAGGGGGGGAGAGAGAGAGGGGGAGAGAGCGAGCGAGAGAGGGAACAAGTCACAGTGACAGAATAACTCCTAATGGAAGGTTTTTGGTTAGTACCGTAGCCAATTTGTGTTTTTGGTGATGATCCTTTGTCAGCGCTGCTCCCATACCCACAGTGTGGATATCGGGGTGTCTACCTTAAACAAAGACACAGGTGCAGATCCCGGGAGCTCGATACTGTGCTCATGCGCACACCTCAACACAAGGCCGTCCTCAGCACAACTGCCCCTGAAATAACAATGTCGAGGCCTCGAGGAACATTCTGTGGTGACAGAGAGAGAGAGGTGTTGGCTGTCGGGTGGCAACAGATGCCACAGGGTGGGTGTTGATACCCTGGGTACTCACCGTACATCTTCCCCTCATCGGACAGTATGATTTTCCGTCTCCCGCAGGGTGGGTAAATGGCCAAGGCCTCCTGGAAGCTCTGTTCGATGTCAGGGCTCCACACTCCCTCCGCGTCATTGTCCATGGATTTCTCCAACAACTCAGCCCCGTCATCTCTCCCATCGCCGGGGCTGCTGCTGCCGTTCCAGTCGTTGGACGCAATGGTGGCGGCTGGCGTGGCTCTGAGAAGGAGCCTGCGGTCACACGGGAGAAACCTGGAGGTGGAGGGAGTATCTGAAGGTTAGCGTGCGGACAGGGAGGGAGGGAGGGAGGGAGGGATCGCTGCCCATGATGTCTCACCGTTTCTCCACTCCAACAACCAATAGGGCAGCCACGATTGGGAGAACTCGCTGCACACACAAATAGACACAAACACAGAGACACACACAGAAAGACACAGAGACACACACACAGAGACACACACACACAGACACACACACACACACAGAGACACACAGACACACACATACAGAGACACACACCTACAAATACAGATGCACCCACAACTACAACAAACACACAGCCATACACCATTGCTCACCAGTATGTGCCCCAACTCTAAAGTGCTCTGCAATCTCCCCCCCACCCCACGGCTGACGTTCCATTGACAGTGGGAACCTCGCCACAGCTGGTGGTGAGAGATCTGGTAGGTCAAAGCCTCATCACCAAACCAGCATCAGGAACCGGGAACCGGCCCCAGGAAGCTGGGTCCTTGTTGGGCCCTGGGGCGGGATGTTGTGCCCCGAGATGGTGGGATCGAATCCTGGGAATGTCAGGAATGCTGGGAGCAGCGGGAACCCGATCGCTGAAACAAACCCCAAACTGGCTGCCACATTCTGCCCACAAAATACACGGTCACTACATTTTACAGTAATATCCTTTGAAGCGCTTTGAGGCGTCTCGATGATGTGACAAGGCATTACATTGAATGCAAGGATTATTATTATGATTAATAAACTAATGCTCCATCTTTCTATGAACACAAGATGGGATCTCAAGCATCTCATTGGGCAGATGAGATTTGCACATGTAACTAGATATCTGGATATGTAACTTGGGATTGGAAGCGTGGACACTGAGGTGCTGCCTCTGTCTGACCAGGCTCTCCCTACACGTTGAACAGTTACATCAAACTATCTAACAGAGAGAATTACACAACAAAGCAACAACATTGATCAACAAAAGCCAACAATTATGGAGTCCTGTAGAGCACTCGTCTTGCAAGCGAGAGGACCTGGGTTCGATTCCCGGGCAGGGCGAAACTTTGGGCAAGTTTCCTTACTCCACACGCCTCTGTTTACCAAGCAGTAAGTAGGAACCCGGTTGTTAGTCGATTGGCAGATCACTTTCCTGGGGTAATAAAACCTTTAAAAAAATGTGGTCATTCAATCCATAGTTTGTGGGACACTGATGTGTGCAATTGGCTGCCTTTCACCCACAAAATATAGTCAATTCACTTTACAACAACAACTTGCATTTAAATAGCGCCCTTCACGCCAGACAGCGTCTCAGAGTACTTAAATTGACAATATATTCCGTGTGAAGCGCTTTGAGACGTCTCAATCACATGCTAAGACACTATATCAAACGCAAGGATTATTATTATATAAACACGTTAGAAGCACCTCTACTAGTCAGCGATGTCCTTGGGAGCGAAGGCCTGGAGTCTCACTCGCTTGAGCTGATGCTGTAGTCCGCAAGGAGACGCTGGCCGGATAAGGCATTCCCGGGAAGGCAATTACTGTTCACTTACGGTTTTCAAACACAAAATGTAAAATGGGGGTCAAAGTTAAAGGGGAAACGGTGCCTGCTTCCACACGCTCAGACTGCACCTCTGGGGAGCTCTCCCCTGGGTCTGCTCCCTGGTGTTCAATGCTTCTTCCCGAAACTCTCACTTCGCTCCCCCAACCCAGAGCTCAGCGGAGCTCTGCAGCGGGGAGGGGGGAGGGTTGGGGGGGAGGGGTGTGGAGAGGGGGTGTCAGAGAGAGGACACCAGCTGGACAGGGCCCCAAACAAACCTCCTTGACGGGACGGCCCCCCAAAAAAGCAGAGAGCTGCAGATAATTTCCACGGAGCATTGGTAAGGTCAAAAAAAGTAATGAAAAACGCCAACAAAAAGATGAAATATCTCCTTGCCGCACCCCCACAAATCGGTGATATTTGGAAGCTTCCAAGGGGTCGGTGGCTGCAGCCTCCAGTTGCGCTCGCTCTCTGGGAATGCGGTCTGTGGGTATATTTGAACGTGTTGACTGCCAGAACAGTCATACTGTTATAAAATGTCATCTCCTGAACTTAGAGCACACTCTGAATTGGTCAGGGGTGACCTCATGGTGTATAAATAGCGCTCACCGCTCCAACACATATTGTGTCCATCTTAGCATTCTCTAAATAGACAACAAACGGCACTGCCTTGTCTGTCCTGCTGCTCCGGGAGAGAGAAACTCTTTTCGAATAGCGCCATGGGACCTTTAACGTCCACCTGATCAGGCAGAAGGGGCCTCGGTTTAAATGTCTAATCTCCCGATTCCCTCCAGTCGCACTCATCCTTCGCTCTGCAAGCTCAAGCCTGACCCTCTCCCCCACCCCCCCCCCCACCCTGGTCCACCCCCATTTATTGGTGTTCCAGCTCCATTGCCCCCATTCTCTAGAATTTTCGCTCAAATTTATCTCCTTCCCTTCTCTTCCTTCGTCTCACACTCTTCCTCCCTCCCACTTCCTCTCTGCCCTTAAACCGCTCCTTACCAATCCTCTCTCTGAAACAAGGTTATGGACGTCTCCCCCCTAAGCCCTGGCATGGTTGGGTTTCCTGGTTGGGTTTCCACTACATTTCCCTGTAAACTAATGAAAGCTGCAGTGTACGTGCAAGTTGCCGTTGTTGAAGATAATGAGGTGTTTAACCACTGAGCCAGTGAGAGGAAAAGAGCCTGAAAGTCCGTCTCCAGTGCTCGGTGCCTTTTATCTCCGCACTGACTCCCGGCTAATCTGACTGGTGACAGGGAGCTACAGGTGTCGGCTGCCCTGGACACTTATAACTTGCGAGTCTCCAAAACACTCAGACAGAAATCTTTAGTGTCACTAGATATTGTCATTCTCTCTGTCCAGCTATCTGTCTTCCGCCTTTACATATAGATCGAGCTTCCATTTTCAGGGTCCTGCAGACTCCCTCTCTTTTTCTGTTTCAGTATTAAAATAAAACATTTATAGTAAGGTTTTGTGGCAGGTCTGATGTAGACAGCCTATCCTGTGACCACTGTCCTTTGGGACTGTTGAGTTAGTAGCTTATAAAGCGAGTTACAAACAGTAGGTAAAGTACAGTTTCGCCCACAAAAATAAACAGACAAATCACTTTACGGTATATTCTGTGAAGCACTTTGAGACGTCTAGAAGACATGATAAGGTGCTGTATGAAAGGCAAGGATTATTATTATTACAGTGCAGTCAGGACGGTGACAGTGGAATAGAACACTACAATAGTATCCCAGAGAATTTGACAGTCTGACCCTGAGCCGGGGGAGAGGGAGGGGGGAGGTGACCGTAAGCACAATCAAAAAGGAAGGTCTTTAGGCGGGATTTGAATGTGGGGAGGGAGAGGGGGAGATTTAATCCTCCAACATTAGGGAGTCAGAGGCTTCAGGAGAGAGAAAGGGACCCAATGAGGCTGCACAGAGCACTCTCCAGGCCTCAGTTCTTCAATTGCTCACCTTCTTCACCCCGGGTCAGAAGGTTGTGGGTTCAAGCTGAACACCAGGACTTTGAGCTCACAGTCTAGGCTGATGCTCCAATGTAGTGTTGGGGTGGGGGGGGTGGTGCTGTATTGTTGGAGGTGCCATGCTTTGAATGAGATGTTAGCCTGAGATCCTATCTGCCTGTTCATGTGGATACCAATAATCCCGCGAGGGGATGCAAAAGAGAAGGGAGTTTCTCATTGTATACTGGCCGGTAATCAGCCAGATATATTGGGCATTCACTGCATGGCTGTTTGTGAGACTTTGCGCAAAATGACTGCCACGTTTTGTCTACAAGTATACAGTAACCACACTTGACAGCAATTCCCTATAAGACGGCACGGTTGCCTCTGTGTGATATACAATTACTACTATAATGACAATAATCCTTGCATTTGATATAGCGCTTTTCACATCTTCTAGATGTCTCAAAACGCTTCACAGAATATATTGTAAAGTGAATTGGTTGTATATTTGTGGGCAAAACGCAGCAGCCAATTGCGCGCAAACAATCGTGGATTGAAGTGACTAAATTATTATTTTTTTTCTTGAAGGATTATTATCAGACGTGTGGAGTAAGGAAACTTGCCCAAGGTTTTGCCCTACCGAGAATTGAACCCAGGTCTCTCACTTGCAAGGCAAATGCTTTAACCCTGAGCTACAGGACTCCACTATAATCATCAGGTGTCCAGTGGTCATGTTGTCGCCTTCCTCCCTCCTTCAAGGCACATCTCAAGACCCTCATCTTCGACGATGCCTTTGGTCACCCTCCTACCCTACCGTTCCTATCCTCCTGATCCCAACTTCCTGCTCGGGTTCAAATCCCTGACTGTCCAGTGGCTTGGGACGTCCACATGCCTTGAAAGGTGCTGTGTAAATGTAATTTGTTGTAGTTGTTGTTATTGTGCATTGAAGCAAGTTATGCTACTTACAGCTCATGCTTTGAAAATGTTAATAATAATCCTTGCATTTGATATAACGTCTTACCACATCGTTGAGACATCTCAAAGCATTTCACAATATACACTATTAAAAGTGAATTGACTGTATATTTTGTGGGCAAAACACAGCAGCCAATTACACACAGCAGCGTCCCACAAACAAGTTGTGGATTGAGTGACCAAATTACTGTTATTATTTTTCTCTTCACCCACAGCCTTTTGGGGTAGGGAGATACAGATTTTCACTACCCTTTGGGTGAAAAACTGCCTCTTGAATTCACTCCTAAATGGCCCGGCTCTAATCCTCAAAGTGTGAATGCAATCCCATAGTTTCCGTGCAGATTTTACCAATTAAAAAGGAGTCATTGGCTAGCATCTTTGAGGTTGCTAGTCTTAGAGCTTAGAGTTTGCAGTGCACAGTTTAAACAAAGCCTCAAACTTGTTGAACATCAAAAAGAAAGTAAATAGATACTGAAACATACAAGATGGCAGTGTCCTGAAGGACCACATGGTTTCTGACTCACCTCAAGGGCAGACTTG